CAAACCTGACTTACCCAAACTTTCCAAGGAGATGCAAGGCCATTGTTCACATTAGTGTAGTGTTTGTCAGTCATTGTCATGATTTAATTTTATGGATACTTTGGACATATAGAGAGGATGAACGAAAGGAGACGAAACAAGTATACAAGACGAGTGTGGATGGGAGAGTTGGAAGGCATTGACCTCAGCGAACGTACCTCAATCAGACTGAGGACATTTTTAGCAAAGGCCAGTTTAGGAGTACCCTAATTAAGTTAATAACAATGTACCTACCTATATAGTTTAAGTTTAAAAAATTTGGCTCTCAAAATAAATTTCAATCGTTGTACTGTTAATATTTGGCTCTCTTGACTAATGAGTTTGCCCACCACTGATGGCCTCTCTAAGGATGCTGTCACCCATCTACAGCTAATTGGCCATTATCTACCTGCTACCAACGGGCCAGGGAATCCTCTAGCAGCCAGTGGATTTTTGATCGTTTTGAGCGGCAACCACCAATTTTAACGTTGAACATTACATTTTAAATTTTAACTGTATTTATTGTATTGTTTTGAATTTGATGTGACAAGCCCTGAGCCTGCTTCTGGGATGGGCGGGCTATAAATATGAATAAATAAATTAAAAAATACAGAAGTCCTGAGATTTACACACCTATCGAACACATTTCTTCTAAAAAGCCCCCCCCCTCACAACTATCTTGCAAGGTCTGTGAGCCTGAAAATGGGACCAGCTAACGGGCATCCAAGGACCTCCCAAGCCTAATGCAAATTTGAACCCAGATCCACCAAGTCATAACCAATGCCCCCTCTAAGCTGTGGAGTCTTGTGAGCAAAAATTCTGCTTTGTGAGCTACCGGCATTAAAGTTGTGAGTGAGCGATTTGGCTACTGCATAAAGTAGTTTGCTCTGGAACCCCACCTTCCTGAGCTAGGACAAAAAATGTGTGAGCTGGAGGCTAAACATACTGTGAGCTAGGTCACACTAACTCAGCTTAGAGGGAACACTGGTCATAACCCAACACTCTGGGCTCTCGAACTTAACTGGCCCACATCATGAATGGGGGTAAACTGGGTCGGATTCATTCATGGGGATCAGTCATGGCCCCAGGTGCGAGTTTGATGTTACAAGCCCTCAGCCCGCTTCCGGGATGGGCGGGCTAGAAGAATAAATAAATAATACAGAAGTCCTGAGATTTACGTACCTATGAAATGCATCTCTTTGGGGAAAAACAAACCCAATATTTAACCCTAGAACTATCTTGCAAGGTCTGTGAGTCTGAAAATGTGACCGGCTAAAGGGCATCCAAAGACCTTCCAGGCCTACTGTGGATTTGAACCCAGATTCACCAAGTCGAACACAACACTATGGGCTCTTGAACTTAACTGACCCACATCATGAATGGAGCAAACTGGGTCGGTTTCATTCATGGGGATCAGTCATGGCCCCAGGTGTGAGAGTCTCAAGCGTCTGCAGGAGGATTTCTTACTTAGAACTTTATACATCAATGAAAAAAGACAATCCACAGTAACCTTTGATACATTTAATGAACCCCAGCTCATTAAAAACTCACAAAGAACAGAAAAGAAAACACAAAGTCTGATTTACCTGATATTAACAAATAATAACCTCTTGAATAAGCTATGACTCTCCCTTCACTGAGTTTCATTTTCAGTGATGCATAAAGAAATACTTAAACTAGGGTTGCCAAGTGCCTGGAGGAAAAAAGTTCTCTCCCTTTAACAGAGAGGCATTATGGGATGTAATTTCCACACACGAAGGCTTTGAGAAAAAGGCAGGATTTTTCCCCCTTCAAGCCTGTTAGCAACCCTAATGCTGATGGACTTTTCAAATTAAAGCAGTGAGATGAAATTGCTCAGCCTGCTGCTGGATGCTATTGTGGATGTCTGACCCCTTAGAACTTTCTGAGTTGTTGAGTTGGGAGACAAAAGCTTTTCCTTTCAACCCAACTAAATCCTATTGCCAGAACTCTTTGAGCTTCAAGGTGGTGACACCCAAAAGAGCTCACAGCAGGCTGGACTGGGGAGGGATTAGAGTTCAGAAATGCCTCTCTAGAATTGCTTGTCACCTAAAAAGGTCTGTGAATTAAGGATGCCGGCTGATCACACTATGTCGATGCCAGTAGCAAAGAAGCTTTAGATATCTGTTACCCTCAACTTGTCTATTTCCTCACAGGATTTGGGAAAGGAAATGTTTTTGCCAGGTTTGTAGATGTCAGAAAGAGTTAGATTGGCAGACAACCTGAAGTAGCGAGTTTCACAGAGGAGGGCAACCACTAAAAAGGCCCTCCTTTGCGAAACTACTTTCTGAGCCTTTCTAAGCCTCCATCAAGAAGACCCTCATCAGAACCAGCTACATGAATGTTTCACATTCATATGGATTCTCTGAAGAACATGAAAATCAGATCTGTGCCTCAAGTTCTTGCCACACAGTGAGCATTGATGAGGTTCCTCCCTTGTGTGGACTCCTCTGGGCTAAAGGAGACACGAGCGGATCTTGAATCTCCTTCAAATGGCAGAGCCCATCCTTCCCTTCTTCCCTGTGAGATCTGTTTGAGGGCTTCAAACATGCCTAAAGCTCCTTCCAGAGTCCAAGGATTTTTAGCATTTCTTTCTGGTTAGGGTGAGATTTCTGTGTAGATTCAAGCTTTTAGAAGAAATGTATGCAGTTTCAGTGCGTTATATGGTCTGTGGTTGACTTTTACGTGTAAAATAAGAGAAAAGCTCTTTTCATGGGCAGTTACATGGTTTCTCCTCATGTGGCTTCTTAAGAAGCTGTAGATTTCCATGCTGAGTGAAACTCCACATTCCGAACATTCAGGTCCTGTTCACACTAGGGGTTTTGGGCCGGGAGCAGGACGGATCGGGGGCGGAGCAAACGGGCGCGATCCCACGGCAACATCTGGGAAGCGTTGCCTGCCCGTCCCCGATCTCTCCTTTCTGCTCGAAAACCCGCACCAAAAAGCGCTTGTCACCTAAAAAGGTCTGTGAATTAAGGATGCCGGCTGATCACACTATGTCGATGCCAGTAGCAAAGCGCTTCAATCCCGGCGGTGAGATCACCGGCACGTCCTTGCGCTGGCGCATCCTGGCCCCCGGTCAAACAGCGCATGCTTGAGCATGCGCAGTTCGCCAGCCTCCCCCCCCCCGACTCTTCCTCCGCAGCATCTGATCGTGCCCGGGAGCAACGGCGCGCGGTGCAGGGATCCATGGGATCCCGCCCGCGCGTCTCTAATTTGGTGCGGCTCTATTTAGCCGAGCTTTGACGGGTGTTTTCCCTGCCGTATGGCAGGGGCCTCAGAAGGGTTTTCCTCTCTATGGGTTCTCTAATGCCGTTAAAAACTGCTACTCAAGCTCCTTCCACACTCTGAGTATTCAGAATGTTTCTTCCATGTGGGTTCTTAGATCCTGTTGAAGATGGCAACCCAAACTATATTTCTTTCCACACCCTGAGCATTCAAAGGGTTTTTTTCTCTTGGTGGATTCTTTGATGCCGCTGAAAATGGCCACTCCGACTGAATCTCTTTCCACACTCTGAGCATTCAAAAGGTCCCCCCGCTCTGTGGGTTCTCTGATGCCGCTGAAGATGGTAGCTCTGAGTGAATCTCTTTCCACACTCTGAGCATTCAAAAGGTTTCTCCCCTGTGTGGGTTCCCTTATGCCGCTGAAAATGGCTGTTCCGACTGAATTTCTTTCCACACTCTGAGCATTCATATGGTTTTTCCCCTGTGTGGGCTCTTTGGTGCCGTCGAAGACAGACCCTCCATCTGAATCTCTTTCCACACTCTGAGCATTCAAAAGGTTTCTCCCCCGTGTGGGTTCTTCGGTGCCGTCGAAGACTGCTACTCCAACCGAATCTCTTACCACACTCTGAACATTCATAAGGTTTCTCCCCAGTGTGGGTTCTCTTCTGATGCAGCTGAAGACTCCTCCTCTCAATGAATCTCTTTCCGCACTCTGAGCATTCAAAAGGTTTCTCCCCTGTATGGGTTATCTGATGCCACTGAAGTTTCTGCCTCTCAATGAATCTCTTTCCACACTCTGAACATTCAAAAGGTTTCTCCCCCGTGTGGGTTCTTCGGTGCCGTTGAAGAGTGCTACTCCAACCGAATCTCTTACCACACTCTGAGCATTCATAAGGTTTCTCCCCGGCGTGGGTTCTCTTCTGATGCCGCTGAAGACTCTTCTTCTCAATGAATCTCTTTCCACACTCTAAGCATTCAAATTTCTCCCCTGTATGGGTTCTCTGATGCTGCTGAAGATTCTGCCTCTCAATGAATCTCTTTCCGCACTCTGAGCATTCAAAAGGTTTCTCCCCCGTGTGGGTTCTTTGATGACGTTGAAGAGTGCCACTCTGTCTGAATCTCTTTCCACACTCTGAGCATTCAAAAGGTTTCTCCCCTGTGTGGGTTCTTCGGTGCAGTTGAAGAGCGGTACTCCAACTGAATCTCTTACCACACTCTGAGCATTCATAAGGTTTCTCCCCAGTGTGGGTTCTCTGATGCAGCTCAAGATTCTTCCTCTCAATGAATCTCTTTCCGCACTCTAAACATTCGAAAGGTTTTTCCCCCGTGTGAGTTTTTCGGTGCCGTTGTAAAGTGCTACTCCGACCAAATCTCTTACCACACTCTGAGCATTCAAACCGTTTCTCCCCTCTGTGTATCCTTTGGTGAGGAAGGAGCGGTGATCTATTTCTGAAGAGCTTTCCACACTGCATGGATTTACTTGCCTTCATTATCCTGTGCTTTGGAAAATGTACATCACGCTTTCTTCCACCCCGCATCTCAGCCATATGGCTGCCTTTCTTTCTCTTAGGTCTTTCTTGATTCCTGACATTTTCTTTCGAGTCTTCGTTTTTAACTCTCTTTGGCATTTGCTGATGAAGTTCCTCACCCTCCTCTTTCTTCTGAGGATGGAATAAATATTCCTCTGCTGGAATAAATGGAGAGATCCTGTTAGCACATGGGAGGGCTTGTAAGGTCCAAAGGTATCAATGTGACTGCCGTAGGAAAGGACTGATGGCGCTTTGCCCTCATCCAGCTTGGCTGATCTTAACCACCCCTACACACACCTTTCCCCAGAATATCTAGTTTTTAAGGAATCCTCACCCCCTCAAAAGACACAGCCTGAGCTCTTGCTCAGAAGGAGCTCCTGAATCTCCAAATCCCAGTCCCCTGAAGGCCTCCCTCCCTCCTTACCAGGTGGGCTGTATGATTGTACCAAGCCAAATGTTATTCAGAAGTGAATCAGAAATCCCTCTTGGCTATTCCTTGCCTGTTCCACTGACATAATCATGAAGGATACTCACTATCATTCAGCTCATTTGGGAAGGAAATATGCTCTTGGGATCCTCTTGAGGAACTCTCCTGCCTCTCTTTGGATGCAAGTCTGTTGTCTGTCTCCACCAAAGTCTCTCTTATACTTTTGGCTTCTCTTGCTGAGAGACAGAGAGAGAAAGTGACCATTCTTATATGGGGAAAGAAAGAAATTCTGGAGTAAAAATTCTTCTGGAAGGACAGAATCAGGGTCAGTATCAAAGCCCACAATGCCAACCAGTGTAAGGGGGACGGATCTGTGAGGCAAAGCACCCTAGTTCCCCCCAGGGTTAATGTGATTACTAAGTGGCCTGATACGACTTGCAGGCGTTCATGATTTGAGTCTCCCTGCAGCTAACATCCTTATCTTTTTCAAGGCCAGACTCCATAATGTAGTAGTTAACTGAGAACCTGTATCCAGTTGTGTAACCAGGAGGGAGGGAGGACTGGGAGGCTGCAAACAGCCTCTGGAAAATTCCATCAGGCAGGACCCTTGATTGGGTCGTTAGGACCACCTGACCCTAGAGAGGCAGGAAGTATAAGAAAGGTACAGATCAGACAGAAGCCATGTTAACTTTCTGCTCATGCCATGATGGTACACCTTGATATTTTCTTGCTTCATCACTATGAATAGTTTCACGTAGAGTAACTTAGGCTACAGCTGGAATACTTATGCTGCAACAAGAGGTGCCATCTAATACCCAGTGTTTCATGTATTTTCTTGTTTCTCTGTTCCAAAGTTGCAGAAACTGTGCTGTTTAGTTATGTCTTGTTTTTACATCCCTAATAAATATTTATATATATTTTTAAAGGGGGCTGCATTACTTGTGCGCACTCTCCTTGTGAACCCACTGAACTGGGTGCTGCTCAGGTACAAAGACTAGTGACCGGGGGGCGGGGGGTACCCAATCTTGGGTTCTGCACAGGAACATTTCCAGATCACAGGCAGAGCAGATGTTTGTAATCACCTCTGGGAGAAAGGTGTGTGGTAAAGGTTGGCAACACAGAATGAGGATCTGGCCCCTTCCAGAGTCTTTCTGAGGGTCTCTCATCCCCGCCTTTGCCTCAGGCCAGGACACCTTCTCTGGCTTGGGTGATGGCCACAACACAGGCCGCAGTTGCCCCTGGGCAAGTAACCAGAAAGACCTCATGATGTATTGCAGTTTAATAGTCTGATTAATGCATCATCCCATGGGTAGGTATTCACACCGTTGGCACTCGTGAAAGATCCTTACCCAGAGAGGCCACACTCCCATAGTTCTCCAGCATGACTTCCCTGTAGAGGGCTTTTTGGCCCGGATCCAGCAAGGCCCATTCTGCCCTGGTGAAATACACAGCCACCTCCTTGAAGGAAAACGGAGACTGAAAGGAAAAACAGATTCCCTCGTCAGAGGGCATGCCAGGCAGAGATTGCACACTGGAAGGAAGCATTCTGGGAAGATACAGGATGTACAACTTAGCATGGGTAAAGGGAATGGCGAGCCCAGTTGCCTTATAGAAACTGCAGGAGCAAAAGCCACCCCAAGATAGGACGGGGGACCCCAGATTTCCCCCCGCTGATCTCCCCTACCTGCCCTGAAGGTAAAGCAGCCATTTCCACACCTCCAGAACGATGACGGCTCAATAGCATCTCTCCACTGCCTGTTAGTAAGAGAAGGGAGGAAGGAAGTGTTTTTGTCCTGACTTCCTGTTCCACTGGCTTGTTTGTTCCCTGCTTCATGCACCTCCTTCCCAGGAGTTTGAAACCTTGCCCTGTGTACACACTAAACACATTCTTTTACGCTTCTTCTTAATTTCTGGCACAAGCCTTGGGAGTGATAAATGCTGCCAACGTATTTCAGGCCTCTGTGAGACTTGAAATGTGCCCTGTCAACTCTGGAGCACCCAAGTTTGCAGCATCCCAGCTGGATCAGACCAAAGACCAGGAATTGCATTCTCCTGACAGCTGGGCACTTGAGGCGGGACTGGCGGGAAAGTGGGCAGTGGAGATGACTTCACGAGACACGTTACCATCACATTCGGCCCAAAACCCAGACATCATTTGAACGCTTCTGGAGACTCTAGGGCAATATCAGTGCCAAGCTTCACACCAAGGCCCTCCCAAAAGCTCCTGGCATCCCACCTCCAGCATCCTGTTCCCCACAGCGGCCTGCCAGATGCCAATATATGCACCGGCAAAGAAGCCAAATGTCTCCATGATGACTGGCCCCTGGAAAATGGTTTTCAGAGCTCTGCTGCCCCGAAGGTGGAGGCTCCCTTTATTCACCAGATTGAATGGCTCTGCTGAGTTTTGCCTACTTTTTCTTTTTTCAGCCACCTTCAGTTCCTCTTACGGAAGGAAGGTAAGATATGAATATTTTAATTAATCTGAGGAATTGCCCTCCATGAACTTGTCTAGTCCCTGTCTAGAAGGGCCAACGGTATGTGAAGCAGTCTTTAATTCTTTTGCTGACCTGAACTCTCTTCCCCTAAAATTCATGGGGTTGCCCCAAACACACCCAGGAACAAAGAGACCTTACCACAGGAGATGGTATCTTGGGCACCCTCCAGGGCCTGCGCCCTCTGCCCTTGCTCTAAGGAAGCTCCTTCTGCCTCAGGGAATGTAGCTTCTGTCTTCACGGATGGTGCCCACATCTGAAACAGCAGCGAGGGAGAGGGGTAAGAGATGGAATGGAAAAGAGACCAAGGAATGGATCCTGCCCCACTCCCAGACTCTGCACCCTTCCATCAGCAGAACTGGTGAGTTATCTAGAGGGATAAAAAATTCTCTAGTAGAAGAGGCTGCTGAAGGAGACTGTGAAATCTCCCATTTGGATGATTAACATTTAGACAATGTCTGGCAGGGAAACTTTAGGATAAGGCCAGATATCGTTGCTTGGACTGGACATTCCTGGAGGAAATCCCCTCACCTGCTCTGCCCGCCTCTTCTCCTCTGCCTGACTCAGGAGGAAGCCTTCGGCCAGGGCCACTGCCTGGGAACTGGTCTCCGGCCCACATCCTCTGACCCAGCACTGCATTTCCTGGGGGAGGAGGGCCAGGAGCTGCTCCAGGATCACCAGGTCCAGGATCTGCTTCTTGGAGTGCCTTTCCGGCTTCAGCCAGTGGCTGCAAAGTCGATGGAGCTGGCTGCAAACCTCTCGGGGCCCATCGGCCTCATGGTAGTGGAACTGCCGAAAGCATTGGCTACGTACATCTGCGGTCATGGTGTCCATAGCCAGGATCTCTGGCACAGCTCTTTCCCAGAATTTAACACCACACCTTCCTTGGATGGGGACCTTTCCTTGATCTCTGGCCTAGTCCAGGTCCTTCTGGTTCCTGCTCTTGCATCTCATTCTCTTGGGTCACCTTCGATTCTAGAATGATACCCTTACTCGCATGGCTACAAAGAGGGAGAGGAAAAGACATCAAAAAAGGCAGAAAGAAACCAAAAGAGAATGGAGCTACATCACCAACCTGGTCAAGTGGTTGCCCCAGTGGTTAAGAAGTAGTGCCCTAGTTGTAGCTGGTGGATAATGATTAAAATCACTGTGCTACATTACGTATCAGGCTTTTGAAATATGCCTGTTTTGTCCTTTAGGAAAGTAAACCATCTCTATTAGTACCTCCACAACTGGCCAGATGCATTAGGCAATTGCACTGATCAAGCAGCTGGCAGAGGGGTGTCTCTCATAAGGACATAAGAGAAGCCTTGTTGGATCAGGCCAATGGCCCACCCAATCCAACACTCTGTGTCACACAGTGGTCAAAACCCAGGTGCCATCAGGAAGTCCACTATTGGGTCCAGAACTCCAAAAGCCCTCCCACTGTGCCCCCCGAAGCACCAAGATTACAGAACATCACTGCCCCAGAAAGAGAGTTCTGTCCATACCTTGTGGCTAAGAGCCACTGATGGACCTCTGCTCCGTATGTCTATCCAATCCCCTCTTGAAGCTGTCTATACTTCTGGTGCCACCAATTCCTGCGGCAGCAAATTCCACATGTTAATTACTCTTTAGGTGAAAACTTTCCTTTTATCTGTTCAAAACCTACTGCTCATTAATTTCATGGAGTGCCCATGAGTTCTTGTATTGTGAGAAAGGGAGAAAAACACTTCTTTGCCTACCTTCTCTATCCCACGCATAATCTTATAAACCTCAATCATGTCACCCCTCAGCCGTCACTTCTCCAAGCTAAAAAGCCCTACCCTCGTTAGCCTTTATTCACAGGGAAAGTGTTCCATCCTCTTAATCATTTTAGTTGTCCTTTTCTGCACTTTTTCCAGTGCTATAATATCTTTTTTGAGGTGTGGTGACCAGAACTGCACACAATATTCTAAATGAGATCCCACTATAGATCCATACAGGGGCATTATAATACTGGCTGGTTTGTTTTCAGTCCCTTTCCTAACAATCCCCAGCACAGC